ATATATTATTTATATTATATATTATATTTATATCCTTATATATAGGCCTACTTACCGGTATATATATCCACGATCTTACAACATTTAGTTTTGATTTGTTATTATTAACGTAAATCTAAATATTTTGCTATTTACCGAAAGCTGTATAGCGAAGCGCTGCCCATCAATGATACTGATGGTACAACTACAGGTTACGTTATCATTGATACAAGTGTTGGAGTCGATACAGTATTTTTCTTCACATGGCTTTTGTACCCTGTAGAAGTTGTTCTAGAAAACCCAAAAGGACGGCGTTTTGACAATACCAATGAAGAGTATGATTTCAACCGCGTAGTTAGTATTATCATCATCCGTATAAGTGAGCGTGCTATGGTAGGTATCATGTTATGTTTTACTTGATCACTTAATTGACTGCCGATTGATTAGTTAATCATCCACTTATTTATTCATCATCTATTCACCAACCAACAACAAATATGGTACAAAAACAAAAGGATATGGTAATCTACTACATCGTATTTTTTATAGTGATTAACAAGTGTGTTTAAGTACATTTAGTTTGAAATTTTAATTATAACCAATATTATTTTCAATATATTGCTTATAAATAATAATTCTAACATCACAACATAAATTCTTTGTTCTTATAAATTCTATTTGTATTTGCGCTTCCATATTTTTATAACGCTATAACTGCATTTTTTGATCAGGCCGGTCGTTGGAAATTTTCAATCTCTAACCATTCGCCTTCTCCATCGCATATTGTCACGGTAACTGTTGAATCCAAGAAAGCCTCGACTGACGACACACCAATCACACTCACGTCTTTTGTCAGTGATCCGTTCATTGATTATCAAGTCACGCCTTATATAACTATATTCGCATTTTTAAGCAAGGGAAACGAGTCTGTTGCTAATGCTGATGTATTCGCTATCTTGGAAACACCAAACGCAAATGGTGACGTAATTCAACTATATGACAATGGTGCAAATGCGGACATAACAAAATATGACGGCGTTTACTCGGCGTATTTCTTCAACTTCACCGACAATGGGCGTTATAGTGTTGAAGTAAAAGTCAGGGCCAATGAACATACATCATTAATTAGGGTTGTGGAGAATTCAAGATCTTTTTCGATTCAAAGAGGTTAGTAGCAAAATGTATAGCAGCACGTTAATTTGTTTTGTATTAGGCCTAATTATATTTTTAATTTTGAAAATCTTTAAATCGGCTCAGGCCTATACAATAATTTTACGCAGTACGAAAATCAATGCGTAACATGTATATATAACTATATA